CTATTAAAATGAAATGTCAGTGTTATTTTCATTTTTGTATAATTTATATGACAATTTATCCATCGCACTCTGTATTTGTTGTTATAGACAAAGTTTTGGCCAAATACCCTTAGTCATTTTTAGGTGTCCATTGTTTGGTTAATATGGGATATCTGCTGATTAATGTGTTATTTTGTCTGTGATGCCAATTCTTGTTCACTTCTGCTGAATCTGTATATATCAGCCAAATAATGGAAACCTGAAGATGGCCAAAATGCTATGTCTGTTATTGCACCTATGATTATCAAGATGGCAACAATAGTTTAAATAAATTCTATTGTGAATTCATCTCAAAATTTAAACACAAAATAATCAGTTGTGAGTAAAAGAAATAAAAAGTTTTTTGACTTAACTGAAGAGCATCAAAATTTAATCCAGTTAGGCTGAAACCTTATCACAAACAAGTAGAAATTTTGTGCTATATTTTAACATAACTGAAGAACAAAACCTAATACATTAGAGTATGTTTTTATTTTAGGTTGGTTGATTTTGTTTGATGGCATATTAACCTCTATGGGTTATTTAATATTTTGTACCTTATTTTATACTTTCAACTCCAGATATTTTATACTTTCAACTCCAGATATTTTATACTTTCAACTCCAGATATTTTATACTTTCAACTCCAGATATTTTATACTCAACTCCATATATTTTATACTTTCAACTCCAGATATTTTATACTTTCAACTCCAGATATTTTATACTTTCAACTCCAGATATTTTATACTTTCAACTCCAGATATTTTATACTTTCAACTCCAGATATTTTATACTTTCAACTCCAGATATTTTATACTTTCAACTCCAGATATTTTATACTTTCAACTCCAGATATTTTAGATAACTTTTTTATACTTTCAACTCCAGATATTTTATACTTTCAACTCCAGATATTTTATACTTTCAACTCCAGATATTTTATACTTTCAACTCCAGATATTTTATACTTTCAACTCCAGATATTTTATACTTTCAACTCCAGATATTTTATACTTTCAACTCCAGATATTTTATACTTTCAACTCCAGATATTTTATACTTTCAACTCCAGATATTTTATACTTTCAGAGTAAAGATATTTTTTTTTCCAGATATTTTGTAGATCATAAAATGTATTGTTGGCAATTGTATTTTATATTTTTTACATTAGCAAAATTTATTGTTGGGCATTTTTTTTTTTTAATAAAAATGCATTTTTAAGTGAATGACAGGCTATAATGATAAAATTATAATACTAATATTGATAATTAGAACTAATGTGTTTAATGCTTGCAGCCAACAGCTAAGAGGAAAGACTGATGGTTCATGAAATTCATTAAATTGGGTTTGACTGGAAAGTCACAATTGAAAGTTTACAGTTCTTAAAATTGTTCTTTTGCTTAATCTTTTCAGCAAACATCTTTAGCATTCTATCCTAAGAGACCCAGATATAAATAGGTCATCTATTATTGAGAAAATAAGTGAAAAATCTACACAAATTAATGTTTTGATTCGCAATGCAATTATTGACATTTCTTTACTGAGAATGATTAGTAAAAAGACAAACTGCTTAAATTTAAGCATGTTATTTATAAGGAATCTCAAGTATTTTTTCTTTCCATTTGAATTTTGTTTACTTTTGAACATTTAAAACTTGTTATATTAGTTTTCATTTCAGTCGAAGTTGTGCATGCAGATCAACATTCATGGAGAAATTGTCCTAAGTTTATAATGTGTTCTTTTTTGTTTATTTTAAATTATTTCTAGTCATTACAAGGAATGTTACAGTTATCAGTACCACACAGGAAAGCTTTATATCTCCTGTGTAGGATGCTTGCTTTTGTATAATGATAGCTTTGAGTATTCAGTCTTTCTTAACAGTAAGTGTTGTATAGTATTTTAGTATTATCTGTCTTATGTAAATAATTGCATTTTGGTTGTTTGTAATTGATGTGTATGAACTGCATTAAATTTTAATAATTGGCATGTTAACCTACAAAAGAGTTATGTGACCAATGTAAGAATTTAATGTTTTTTTTTTATATTAAGAGCGAGATATATAATACAAATTTAAAAAGTCATTTACCTGATTTCTATATACATGAAACTAAGTAGCATCAAGTAATGAAAAAATATAATTATTCTTAATATAAATTTTTTTTTGTCTATATTTCTGAGATGAGGTATCATGTATACTATTTACATTATTCAAGCTATTGTCCTCATCTTTGTTGCCATATTTATCTTGTTTTGATTCAAGAACACCAGAAAGCTGTAACAGGAGGGGGAAGTGGAAAAATCAGGCATGGCTGACCGCGTATGGAGAGAAAAGTGAGATCACCACCCTCTGTGGGATCAGGTTGAAAACAGACAAAGAACATCATTGGAAAATTTGTAAACTTAAGGAATCAGCACATATGCTAGGCCACAAAAATTTCCTGAGCTGACCAAGCATAGAAATGAATACAATATGGGAACCAGTAATAAAGAGTGCCAGAAAAAAGCGATGATAATAATAACGAAAATTGCAACGTGAGCTCTGGGAAAAAAAACATGCAATGATAACAGCAAAAATAGCAATATGAGCACTGATAAAAAAAATGATGCTGAAGACATTAGGTTTATAATACCCAGAAATTCACACACAGATGCATTCAAGGAAACATGGATAAAGGCGTAGATGACAGGACCCAAAGAATGTGAGTTCAATACCTGGTTAAGACGGTGGAGAACATGGAGAGGGGAATTAACAGGAGATAACTGACATCCATTAGACATGGCACGTGGAACTAGTCTACCCCCAACGAGCGAAATAAAGGGTCCAGTTCGACATTCCAACCACCTGAAGATGGTCGGAGCGTACAACGGCCGAAACGTTGTGAAATATGGCAACAAAGATGAGGACAAGAGTCCGAATAATGTAAATTAAAAATAAAATAGTGTATAAATTTTTTTAGTACTGTTTTACTTATTTTTACCTGCACTATTACTGTGCTCCTCTCAATATATGCGCACACAGAGACTTTTTTTTAGAAAATGCACACCTTTGTTGTCTACAATTCAAGTTGAACATAAAAATTGAGGTCAAAAAGGAACTAAAATTGGCTTTTTTTTTAACAATTTTTTATCTATTAATTACGAAGTTATGCAAATTTTTAACTGTTTAGACTAGAGATTTTATTTTTTATTATTCATGAGTTTTTCAAAACAACTAGATATTTTTTAAAAAACAAATGCGAAAAAAAGCATAAAATTTGCTCCCAAAGCAAAAAAAAAAAAAAAAAATTATACTATTTCATCAGATTTGAAATTTAAAGATAAAAAACACTATTTTTTTCTTTTTAACTTTCTACAAAAATAAAAATTAACACCTGGTATAAGTTAGTTTGGAAGCAATAATTTTTGTAAAAAAATTGTACATTTTAATTAGATTCTACAAAAAAAAAGAAAAAAAAAAAAAAGAAAAAGGAACGATTTTGAAAAAGTAAAAACGTAGGACAAAAAGACTTGAAGATTTAATTTTCGAAGTTAAAGAAATGCTCTTCAAATGTTCCTTTAAACTAAAGAACAAGAGAAAAAGAAGCGAGTATTGTCGACTTTAGCGTTTCAAATGATTTTTACGTAAAAACTAAAAATACTTCCTTTACAACATTTAATTTCTCATCATGTAAGTTCGACCTTTTTTTATTTTAAGTAATTCTTCTTTTTCACATCCTGAGATTAGTGGTCACAAAGGTTGAATTAAATTTCACATTTTTTTTTTCCTTTACTTTTTCGGCAAAAATATTTGAAGTGAAATTAGATTGCATTCAAGTCTGATGTGAAAGAGAGAGACAGAGAGAGTGATCGGTGTTTATGTATTGTAAACATTGAAACAAAACCGATTATTATACCTAAACAATTTGCATTTCATAAAAAAGTATTTTTCCTTCAAAGGTGATAAAAAATGTTACATAACAAAAGGGAAGTGTAAAGAAGGTGGAAAGTCTTATAGTAAAAAAAAAAAAAAAAAAAAAAAAAAAAAACGTTTTTACACCATTTTTTTTTTTAATTTTATTCTTAATATTTGGAATTGAAGAGTAGAGAGTTTAATTTTGGATTTGAATATAAAACTCATTAAATTAAAAAATAATAAATAAAAAGTTTTATCCAATGAATAAAATTGGTAATATAAGAAAAATAAAACAGAAATTAAAGTTGGTAGTTGTTGACAATGATGAAAGGTTAAAGAATAAAGATACACAGTAAAATTACTTTCGAAATATTTTTTTTACACCGATTCCAAACTAAATGAATGAATGAAAACAATATTTACAACCAAAGAAAATGATTTTAAAAAATTGATAGCAAAATTTTAAATTTTCATGAATGATTCCTACTTCAATAAAACAGATGTCCTTATTTTCCAAGATTTATTGATTTCCTTGGCATACCACCATCAAACAAATTATGTGGGATGAAAAGTAAATTGGGGGCTAAAAACTACACCGCTACTAATGTTTGGATGCTTTCTCATAAGTAATTTCAAATAATTTAAAAAGAAAACAATCTGTAATTTACTAAGACAACAAAATCATTTATCGCTAAAAAAAAAAAAAAAGTTTTTTTTTTCTCCAGTAAATCATTTTTAAATAAGAAAATAAAACTGACCTAAAAAGAAAAAAAAATGTAACTAACAACGTTGACGAAAACACGAGTAAAAAAAAAAATCAACCCTAATTATTCACCTTTAAAGAAAAAGAAAGAAAAAATACATACATATGGGTCAACATTGAATAAAATTTATAACGGTCATAAAATGGGGTGTCAATTTAATTTACAAAACATTAAGTAAATTGATCCCCCAATTTTGGTTTAATTCTTTTCAGACTTCGCATGGCAGCGCCCAGTGACTAAAACCGTGTGTGACATTGACGGGTCGATGCTGTTGAAAAAGAGACTGAAAAGAAAATAATCTCCAGCAAAAAGTAACAACAGACCTGTGGCTGGATGGCATTGTGTGCAAACATTTCTGTTGGCTTCCTTCAACAAGGGTAAATGTATCGTAGAACTAAGAAATCGCGTAGCCTTAGCGCTAAAAAAAAAAATTCTGGTAGAGATTATGTGGTCGACATTAGAACAAGCGCCGGGTCATGTACGTTCGCATCACGTGACACGATCATGTAGAGTTAACAACTCAAGCAATAGTTTCGAATTTAGGGGCTCAAAATTAACTTCCTATTTCGTTTTCAACATTTTCTTTTATTTTGCTACCTCAGTAAAGACAATTTGAATTTGATGATAAATCCTGAATTAGGGTTTTGTTTGTATATTTGAGTGCTAGATATTCTTTGTATATTTGAGTGCTAGATAATATGTCTAAAAAAAAAGTAAAAAAAACTGTTTGAAGTTGAAAAAGAAAAGAATGTATGACATTGTGATGTTTAGTTTACATTAAGATTCAACAAAATAACAAGCGGATGCAAAAGTATTTAGAAAAAGAAAAAAAAAGAAAGAAGCTATGTAAGTAGTTATTTACAAAGATTTCACCCCACGATTGTAAGTTTGTCCCACGGTCACAAATATGGAGCTCCGCATGCATAGACGCGGATGGTGTTTAAAAATTGGGTAAAATCTGCAGATTACACCCCAGAAACCAATTTTTTTTAAAAAAAAAAAGGAAAGGACCATTCCTGGTGTAAAAAAAGCCCGATTATTCCAAAAATAGCATTACAAATTTGCGGAAATCTACGATTAGGAGATATTGACAATCTTAGTTGGGTCTTATTTGTGTTCCGTAAAAACACATTGTTTTTTTTTTTTTTTTTTTTTGATTTCTTGCTAAAACAAATAATTGTCGGATAAAAATCTTGTTTTGTTTACGTCAGTGGTTGAAGTAAGAATTACGATTTATTAGTGATTTTGCGCTTTTTCCCGGTTTTCGTCGATTTTAAAGTTGGGGAATGTATATTTATCTTTGTAATAATACAAAAATTGTGGTACAAGGCCGAAGGGAAAGTGGGGAATGGCTGGTCTTCCCTGACTATACTAATCCAAGTTAATCACAATTACAACTCCATCATAATGAATGGGCCGTGATGAATTCATTACAATACAATAAACAAAATCACTACAAAAACGTATCCATCACCTCTCAAACCTATATATACCACAATGTCGGAGTTAGCTCCACCTTAATTCCCAAATTGTCACTAGGGGTCATTCTCACTATACTATAAATAATGGGCGACTTCTCGCCTCGTTTTCTTTTTCATTTCTTCATTTCAGCGACTACAATGTAAGCTCTCTTAGAAGATCTGCGTCTTCCCATTTGTGGGAGACTCCATGAGCATTATACACACATACACGTACGTACGAACATTCACCAAAGAACAGACAAAAACGTTCACACACACAAATATTATTGTCTATGTCCATTGTAAAATTGTTTTGTTTAATACATATATTTGTTTATATATATATATATATATATATATATATATATATATATATATATCGGTCTTGTTTGTCATCTTTATCTTCAGTTGGACTTAATTCAAGTCCGGCCATTTTCTTGTAGTTGAACCTTTTAATATGCTACCAGGAGTTACACACGTGTTTCTAATACAACAGCAAACAAACACACACGGTCCTCAACAACAATACCACATATTCACAGGGGTCCTACAAAACACACTATGATGCAAAAATTTTAATAAATGTTCAATTTTTCTTTTTTTTTTCTACAAAAGTATATAAAAATTTCATGGAATATGAGATAATGGGGGATAGGATGAACCCCAAAAAGAAACTGAAATACAGCAAAATATTCAAACTAAAACAAAACAGATGTTAGTGAAACCCGGCCACCCCTCAGAATAATAATGCCGACAGACAGAATCAAAAAGAGCACTTACTCATGGATTGAGAAGGATAAAAAAACAAATGTAGGAATGAGAATGTGATGCGTGTTCTTAGCGCACATTTAACGATTCAAGAAAAAACAACGAAACTCTATATGTGGATCAACAAACAAATATATATCGAAACAACATACACAACAATCATGCAATGAAGTGTAATGATTAAGGAAAAAAAGTTGTTCCTCTTCAACTGTATTCTGATTTATGATTGAATGTTCGACAGAGTTTCTCTTGAATGAGAATGTTCAGGATTCTATGTTGAATAGAGTCTGCTGGTAGAATAGAATGCAGTTAATAATGAAATGTATTGTTTTGAGAAATTAATAGAGTTCTGGTTCATGAACTTGGCCCAGTCACAGAGAGAGATATGTATAATGTGTTACAAAAATCTGTCTGTGTGTGCATTTGAAATGTTGTGAGCAAAGTCATAGATTTGTGTGGACAGGCGAAAATAGCTGGACTCTACTGGCGGCTTGTGGCAAAATTGCTTCTTTTAAAGCTACCGGTAGGCTCCGAGCGAAAACGCGGGAAAAATTGATTTAGTATTAAAATGTTTGATTGGTTAAAATTTGACCAATTACTGATTGCGTATCAAAGAAACATGTGAGCAAGTTCACGACCGAAAAATTCAAAGTGATGACTGCGATTACTAAATTGTCTTATTGAAAAGCAGTATTGATTTACTAGCCAATCACAGACGAATAAATTGTGGGCGTGGAAAAGCATAGCAGTCGCTACAAGAACATCAAAGGCTGACCCAGCCGAGATACCAAAAAGGGGAACAAAAACAAACTAGGGAGGTTGCGAATCTCGATATGGATCATAACAAAAGAATGTGCAGGAAACAGGCCAGAAACATCAGTTATTCACATAAACTAGGAAAACAAATAGTGTCTAACTTAACCAGGGGAGGGTTCACACGAAACCGCCCCGTTGCATTAAGTGGATTTAAAAGAGGAAATCAAGGCTAGCTCCGTTCACGCGAACATGCTCGCCACAGATATCCATCTTTCTCTGAAATCTGTCGATAGCAAACGCATTCAATCCAATATGATCTTCATCCTGAACTGATCCCCAAAGAATCCAACCAGGTCCTGATGAGAATAACGCTCATATCGCAAGATTCCTTCCATTCGCAACGTACACACTATTATTCTTACTACGGCTAGCAGCGTGAGAAACACGATCCGTTTCACCCCGGAGAACAGGGGTGACACATTGTCACACGTGTACGCGAGATCGATGGACAGAAGTCGATCGAGAGCTATATGAGCCTTCAACTCGCCGACATAGTCCAAGAAAGGGCACACCTGAGGACAAAGGTAGAAGGCGCGCTAAAGCCGTTTCTTCTAAGCTAAGGTCACACCGATGACAATCAGGCAAATCCACCCGCCTCTTCTGAAGGTTACGTCATTGAGAAGTAGCACGTTCCGAATCTATCGCCAGGTAAGCGAAAACTAAGGGTTGCTGAGATAGTTCGCCGCTGGCGCGCAAGACCAAAAGTAGCGCATCTCTGATAACGACAAGCCGAACTAGCCACAAAGACGGTCTGTCGCGACCCCCTCCACTAGCTCACAGTACAACAGACTACGAGGCCCTGAAAGGTCACTGGATCGATGAATGGTCCTTAAGAACGACTTTCTCGCAGGAATCTCGATTGTTTCCAAGGCTTACGATAGCGCTCAGCCTGCGAAACGGTGAGTGTGATAGTAAAGCTAGGGAAGGCGTCTCTAACACTCCCCTACAAAATCGAGTCCTTTGTCAACGCACGGCGTAGGAAAACCAACCAGGAAGAGTGCCAATGACACATCAAATGAGGCATTGGGCAACAGTCTCTCTGCAGACCAGATGTTTGTGACCACCTCCACAAGAGGTTGACCGACAAGGGATCAAGTGCCTTCTGTCTTTCTCGTAGAAAGGAAGTACAGCCGATCGATAAAGGATAATAGGAAGTGGAAAACGCCTCAGCTTTACCCTTCACGGACCGCCGCCCCGACATTTGACTGTACCTCGGATCAATTCTTCAGCTGGAGACCGGGCCCGAACCTCACTCCAAGAATGCGGATGGGTCCGTGTGACCAACTAAAGGGCCCCGGAAGCTTAACCCCATCCAGGTACCTAACCGCAAGCCGGATGACTTGTTGCGGTTAATTTGCGCCCCCCCCCCGTCACCTTCTCGTACCGCTCAAGCGCCTTCTGTTCTACCTCAATGTCGTTACGGCACGACACGAAAATAGATACGTCATCGGCGTACGCAGAAATCCTGACACGATCTCCTCCAGAGACAGCGATTCCGCGTAGGGCCGGAATGCACGCCCTATCCCTTAACCGGCGAAGGAGGGACTCTAACGCCAAAGCGTAAAGTAAGGGCGACAGTGGACAACACTGATGAACCAATTGTGACAGTGAAAAAACGCTCGATCACTTTCCGTTCACCTGTACCACAACACTGGGGGTGCAATACAAGAGGATGATCCACTAGCAGAAGTCGGTTTCGAATCTGGCGGGTTGCAGGACAGTAGTAAGGTACTAATCGTCGACCCTGTCGGGTGCCTTGGACTGGTCCAAATTGATCAGCGCGGCCTCGTCGTCGTCTTCTACAGCCGGATCAGATGCAGGTTGCTTTGAATTGTTCCTCCCTTTACAGCACAAGTCTGCTCAGGTCCCAACAATCTTGTAACAACTCATTGCATACGCTCCGTCAGGATCTTCGCCAAAATCTTTAAGTTTGTGTTTAGCATACTTATGTGCCTATAATCGTCTAATTCCCGCCCAACACCCCTGTCCTTTTTTCAATAGAGTGATCACCCTCTGGAGATCCGATCGGGGACGGACCCCTGCCAGAAGCAGTTGTTGAACACGACTGTCAATATCAGAACATGATGCGCGATAGGGCAGATCATCAAGTCCCGGAAACTTGGCACTGCCGCCCCTCTTCAATGCCAAGTGAACTTCGCCCTCTGCGATCTCTCCCTCGCAACTAGCCACTTCAGTCGGCTCAAGCCGAGAAAAGTCAGACCATTAAAAGAAAAAAAGATTATAGATCTATTTCAATAGTTAATACTTGCTACGGTTGTGGAGGTGAACGTTTCGAAAGTAATTGTTTT